ACAGAAAATTAATGAAATCGGCGCTCCTTTTTAAGAGTGCCTTCACCATTTTTGTTTTCAAGAAACTGGATGAAATTAACTTTTCTCCGATGTTCTAGGAACTGAGAAGTAAAAAAAAAAAGCGCAACACGCGACACACAGACGGTCGCTTCTGAAATTACATACAAAATACAAAAAAAAAGGTGAAAAAATTATCTTTCTACCCATACGTATATAACATAAAACACAGGCAATATTGTACTATAATTTATTTTTAAAAAATTAATTAAGTTAAGAGGATTAAAAGCCCAATATTTCTGGAATATGCCCTAAAAAACTGTTAATTTATAAAAAACAATGTAGAAAATATTCTATAATTTAGTAAGCTCTGTACTTAGTTTGTGTACTAAATGAAAACTAATATCAGCAGCTCTTATTACTTGTTTTCAGTTATAAAAATAGGTATAAGGAAAGTAAACCTGAAACAAAATAACTTAAAATACATTAAAAACAGGGAATAAATGCTTAAAACCCACTTTAAACATTGGACATTTATCATTGGATTTTTTTTTTTATAATCAAATTAACAATTTAATCTGATAAGAAAAAAAAATAACAAATGTTTTCAACAGAAAAATGATCTTTGGCTCCATTTTATAAATTTTTTTGCTGCTCTTTTATCTACTTTATCACTTCTTTCATAAGTAAACACTGTGCTAATGGAATATTTGGAACTGATGTTAAGGTTTATTGATGCAGAAGAAGAAGTTGTTCCTTAACAAAAATCTGATTTTAATTTATCACTCTTATTAAAATTGAGGAAGTCATTATTAATAAATTATACAGATAACAAGTAGACATAAATTTTTCTTTTTATAATGAGCTGTTTTAATTAATATACTAATACAGGGTATGCTAATATGGTATCACAGACTGTCTTTGTTAACTTTATTAATTCTTTAATAAAAAAATTACTGATGTTAATTTGATATAGAACTGTTAAAAGTTTTACCTTTCAGCAACGTTTAACCTAATAAATACCAATAAAAAAAAAAGGCATTATTAATAAAGTTTGTTTTTTTCTTTAACCACTAGATGGAAGCACTTCTTGAAAATTTTAACAAGTGCTGCCATCTAGTAATTACATTTTAAAGAGTATTTTTATTTTTATTTTTTCTCAATTATTTACTGTGTTTTAATTATGATATAATATAATTAATATATATTTTTTTTTGATATTTTTAGTAAGTCGAAACTAATTAAAATGAGTTGATAATTCATCAAGAAATATGCATTAGATTAATGACTTGTATGTACCTTCAGGTACATTGTTAAATGAAAAATCAATACACTGAAGTATGATTATATATGCTGCAGGCCAAATGATTTTGTCGTTAAGCTTTAATATACTGTATACTTTTAGCAACATTCATTTAATTTTTTTATTGTAATAAATACAACTAAATATTATATTTTTGGTTTCTTTTTAAAATGGCTGAAGGAAAGGTATAAACCGGCTGCTCCAAACAGCTTCAAATCTAAATCACAGCCACAAAATATTCTAGAATGGTTTGATCTGAATATGCTGAACCCTATCCTTACAGTGCCGGGATGAGGGGAGATCCAGCTAGATTGCTTGGGCTTGATGATGAAGATCTAGCTGGATGGATAAGGCTTGGATGATGGGAGATGCAGCTGAATATACAGACCTAGATGAGGGAAGATCCAGCTAGATGGATAGGGCCTGGTGATGGAGATCCAGCTGGATGAATAGGGTCTGAATGAGATTCAGGATATAAATCAGAATTTAATAATTATTTTAACACAAATAGTTTATTATTACACAAATAAACTGATTGATTAACACTACAAGCCATAATTAGGAGATTGGTCATGAGATGTACAACAATACACCAATCCATATCAACCATGATAAATTATGAAGCAAGTTTGAAGTTTGGATCCATCAGTGGTACGCTGACATCTTACTGTTATAATTGGTCAGACCAAATAATAATTTATATGAAAATTTACTTTATAGTAAAATGCTTTAAAATAACAGTCAAATTCTGTTATCACGTTATTAATTTACATGAAGTCTGCATTAATGCAAAGTACACTCGACGTTCTGTGTGTGAGGGACGATAGGCGTTTCAATGTTAATTAAGAAGTTTAGTTAATACAGATTTCATTAACCCAAAGGGCCAAGTTTTGAGTCCCTCGAACTTTGTATCAATCACATTTGACTGTATATTGATACGTGATTTAACGATCTGATTTAATTATAGATTTGCATAAAAAGCATTATAAAAATTTATAAGAAGGTATGATAAATTTATTCAATGCATTATTACTTGACTAATAAGCCTCACAAACATAAGTCAGTGAATAATAATTACATACAAACTAATAAGTCTACAGTATTGCAACCCATCATATTTAACATGTCTGTGTCATTAATCATAAAATAAATTAGAAATATATTTAAATATAGAACACTTCATCAATATAAGCATAGTAAGTCTCTACATGAAAAAAATCTAATTCCTACAGTAAACTGTCTCCGTATCAATTGGAAAATTCAATTAAGTTTATCTATAGTAATAATAACTACTGGCACTATGAAGAGGCACGAGGTATTTATTAAAATATTAATTGCTTGATTATTGGAATCTAGAAGAGAAATAAACATACACTTTCAGTAGTTCCATGTCCTTGTAGCATAATTATTTGAAAAAAATAATAATAAATACCAGAAATAATAATTTAGCCATCGATCTAAATACCAGATAAACATTATAAATATAACAAAGATTAAAAATTAATATTCAGTTAAATAAATTTAATTACAGTACAGTTAAATAGGTTCCTTCCTTGAATAACCTTTCATGTAGATTGATTATTGCAATTTGATTTTTATAGAATAACTATTAAATAGTATACTGAGAGATTAACTAACAAATATTACATAATCAAAAATAACTTTATTACTACTTGATACTATTATGAATTTCTTATCAATTTACAAAAGATTTCATAAATAATAATGGAAGAAATTGTACATAATTTCACATGTATTGCCCGAGACAGCAATTTATACAGCAGTTTTAAAGACATTTTATTAAACTTTTTATTAATCTCATAGACAATTTTACATCAGATAATAATTAAAGTTAATAGTTCATCATATCATGCATTATATATAAATATAAAAAGCACAAAAGGCATAGTTAACTGTGCTTGTATCATTAATGTTCCGGAAATTAAGGGAAAAAAAAGCAACTTCGCTCCTAGCTCTGTTTAAAGAACCAGTTTTTTTTAATTAATTCTAACCTTAAACTTAATTAGAAGCGAAACTTTTCAAGCGTGAAATTGTATTTGCATTATACACTTGCCAATATTTTAATTGTTTACATTGTATTCATCAATAATTTAGCGAAAGGAAAGGAATAAAAAAAACACTTACCCTTAATAAACATAAAAAGTGTCATCGAAAGTCGTTATTGTAAAAGAAAATAACTTCTTTATAAAAGTCTACAATTAAAAGAAATTTAATTAATTAATAAAACTGCTAAAACTTTCGTGCAATCAAAACAAAAAATGGAATCTCTTACAGTTTCATTTAAATTTAAAATATTTAAACATTTTAAGCATTTAATTACGTTATTTTAATATAAAATTTAGAGAATTAATGATTAAACGAGCAAATACCGTCTTTAAAACATGGAAAAACAATTATCACGTGGAGGCCGCCATATTGTTTTCCTTAAGCACATGTCTGATAGAGAGTGCCACCTGTGAGTAAAAATTAAAAAAAAAAAAAAAACATTTTTTTTAAAAATTGTAAATAACGAATCGATTTAATTTATTAAATTTTTAAAAAATTATAAACATTATTAAAATTTATAATAAATTGATATATATATAACGCAATACGTTATATAGAGTATCTGTAGTTAAAAATTCCTGTAAACACATGGCACCCACGGCGGCTTACTGGTTCTGCATCCAGTGGGATGAAAAATGATACTTCTTCTATCAAGAAGTATCATCTTTTTATTAACACCATAATGGGAATAGTTGATAGTGAAGAACTTAATAGACTACTCGTTAAAATTTATGAGGCTTTTCGAACCCGAAACACTAAGAACCGATGCCTTTAGTGCCTGGCTGTCTCTGCTGTAAGAGCAACATGATCAGCCATACAGCATCATTGTCAATAGTACCTTTATCACAACATGTCAATTCAAATATTCTTTAAAGACCATTTCAATTGGTGAATTGATAATATCTTAAAAGACCTATAACTCAAAAATATCCCGATAGATGGCGACAAGAGGGAGATTTTTCTGCATGTGTGATTGCTTACAATACCCGATAAAGAGGCTTTAACACAGCTGGATAAGCAAGCATTATTCTCACTTACATAACAATCACTACGGTATACTATTGCTAATATACCCTCTCAATTATCAATAAGGCATACCCCCTACTGTATTTTTCTGCCTTATTCGTGTAGTAAACTAGTAATAGTAGAGAATAATGGGTGAAACTGCTTACTTATTCAAAAATACTACATTAAACAACGTAATTCCTCTCCCTCCCATCCATTACTACAGATTAAATCACGTGTTTACTTCCATACTACTGCGAGAAAGGTTATGGTCGCAAGGTCGAAAAATCAACGGATTAGTCTACAGTGCGAGAGGTATAAGGGATGTATCTCGTGCTATATGTTTCGTATGTAATGTCCTAATTATTACACTTTAATAGACGGTTTTCTTAACCGTTAATTTCAACCGCGAACAAAGAAAACTTTTTGCCATTTTATTCAAAAATGTCAACCAACAAAGAAGAAATTGCAAAGAACACGTGACTTTACCCATACGGTACCCCTCTGTTGCCAACAGCAACGTCAATTCACGGTATGGGGGTACGGTTCAACCGACGCCATACTCATTCCTCTATACAGTCTTAGGTTAACTGATTTGCGGGCCACCCATTACGTAGTGAAGCCAGTCTTAAAATACTATGAAAATAATGTGTATCTTTATTAATAATATATCAAAAGTTGTACAGAATAACAGTATATCTATTTATAAAGTTTAAAATCACCTGAGTTGAACCACTTGGGTAATCCACTTGTTCAATAAATGTCATCGCAATACGGAATGGTTTACATTAGACATTACGATAACACAGGAAATTGCTCTGTTGTTCATTCTCCCGATACTGATGAGGAACAATAAAGAAATCTTGCGTACTTTTCACGTAACTAAATTGTTTTTTGTATGATATATTTCGAAACATGGAATAAGACATAACGTAACATTACATTTAGCGCACCGATATTTAGTATCCTTTCTTTTCTTTTCCATTCTACAAACATAACAAGCTTTCCTAAGCAGCCTGCTTTCGTCTCTACTCGACACGGGGACAAAGGTCATAAAATGCCTCTCCTTTGAACTTGATAGACGTATCCTCGATATTTCATTTATTTTAGGTTTGATTCTGTCAGAGTATTTCTTTGTGAGATTGGTCACTAAATTTAGTATGAAGTTCAAATGGGTTGTATTTGCCCCGTATTTATTATAAATTATGTACGAATTAAACACCGTGATTTCTAGGAGATGAAGGAACATCTTCATGTAAAATTTTTTCAAACACTTCTTTTTGACAGCGTAATTACTAATGCATTGATCTGCCAGATCGACACCTCCCATTCCTTTGTTATAATCCAACACTGCTGCTGGTTTCATCTTAGCTTTCCGTCCTCTACCTTTATGACTTCTCATGCTACCGTCGTGTATGGTAGAAAGCATACACACGTCTTTTTTATCGTGCCATTTCAGTGCCATGAGTCGTCCACGATACCACGAGCAAACTTCCCCGGGTTTTAGGACTTTGTCTTTCATATCTGGTGGCAAATCTCTCCTGTTCATTCGAACAGTACCCACTACATCAGTTTTGTAACGTGCTAACGTGTCGTATAACTTGGGCGAAGAATAATAGTTATCCAGAAATAACCTATGACCTTTGTCTAGTCGACTTTCCATCAGAGTTAACACCACCCTCGATGTTTTATTAAATCCTTTAAGGTCGAGATCCTTTACTTTATCGCACAAAAGTGTAGATTCTCCTGTATAGATCATCATATCGTAGACGTATCCTGTGGACGATTCGCAGAGAAGGTAAGACTTTACTCCCATACGTGCCCTCTTCCTTGGTATGTAGGTTCTCCATGAGAGACCACGACCCTTCCACATAAGCAGGCTCTCGTCTATACTTATATCTCTTTCTGGCGTGTAGATCTCCTGCCATTTCTCTTTTAGATGATTCAAAAGCGGTACGATTTGAAAGAAATGGTAATCGTTTTCTTTCCTACTTTCTTCTGAATCAATAGTAAAATGAATCAATGATAGAAGAAGTAGAAATCTATCTCTTTTCATGACCTGTCTAAAGAATGGGGTAGCCAGCATTTCATTCTTAGTAAAATACAATTGCATGGTTGGTTTCTTTACTACACCTTGTAGGATGAGTAAAGCAATGAATAACTTCACTTCATTACAATCGGTTTCTTTCCAATATCGAATTCTGCTCGCTGTTTTCAGCGATCCTTCCGACCTCTTCTTCTTAATTGTTTCGGATGCGTAAATATTTGTGTGTGACACAATAGATTCTATTAATTCTTGGGTAAAGAAGTACTCAAATATCGATTCGGGGTTACGATCCAAGAAAGGAATGTTTACATTAACCTTTCCTAAATTGCTGTCTGTGGGAAAGGGTTTTCTCGCTTCTCCTGACAGACTCCACGACTCACCTTCACCACTTTCACATTCACTTAATTCGTATTCGTCTGTTTCACTGTCACTAATATCACACTCGTCGTCATCTGAAATGACACTAAACTGATCTGATTCACATTCGTATTCGATCCTTTGTTTCTTTGCTTTTTTCGACGCCATGTTGCCGCTCGAAACTTTTCAACGCACTGTACTGGCTTGAACACAAAGCAACTACAGAGGAGATCCCTGGTATACTACCACACAAGGTTATCGTAACGGGCCAGTTCACTTCGGTGTAGAGGAGAAGTTGGGTGCGATGAAGGGGATGATTTGTGTTGTAACTACTCTTATATAATTTCTATTTTACCGTCGTAAATAATATGAAACTATCAATATATTTATAATACAACATTATATGACATTAAAATACAGTCGATCCCCCCTATAACACTGTTGATAATTCTGTTTTATATGAATTCCATGTTGTACGAGTCGCTTCGATTTTACAAATACGTGAGCCGTTCACAGCCTGGCGCATAATGGGTGAAACTGCTTACTTATTCAAAAATACTACATTAAACAACGTAATTCCTCTCTTGATTCTGTATGGGTCCTATTTGAGAGAAGTTTAATCAAATATTAAAATTCAGCACGTTTTAGCTCTTTATTATCCATTGTTTCATCAGTAACACGTTAAGCCAGTGATAGTGACTTCCTGGGGCGAATTGAATTCTGAAAGTAAGGGGTTATAAGTCTCAGTTATTTCAGAAACCTAGCCCTATTGAACGATATATGTTAATACAGTCGAACCTCCGATAACGGCCACTTCTAATAGCAACCATTATCTTTAGGAACGTAATGTTTTCTTTTTGAGCAAAAACACATACAAAATAACATCTTATCAATGGAGATTTTTAGTAACTTATAAAAAAAACCAGCAACGAGTTACACAAGTTTCCCGGCTATTATAAGATCTTATTTAAAAAATAACTTTTATACTATTAATTACAGTATAACTAGAATCGATAGATATACNGAATTCCATGTTGTACGAGTCACTTAGATTTTACAAATACGTGTGCTGGGCTGTGAACTGCTCACGTATTTGTAAAATCTAAGTGGCTCATACAACATGGAATTCATATAAAACGGAAAAATCAACAGTGTTATAGGGGGGTCGACTGGTATTTCGTATTTTAGTTCTTCCAATTAATGAAGGAGTGTTCGTAAGTTCATAATTGAAAACCGTACGTGAAATTTCATATCGTAAACCCCCTTTTTATAAAATTAATTAAAATTTTTGGAAGTTTTATTATCACTTGTAAGTAATCTCCAGGTTATCCTGTACTTTTAAGATAAGGTTAAACCATGTGGAGGTTAAACAACACAAGAGAAATACACAGAGCATCGTGATTAATTAAAGAAGGAATTGCTCAGTCAAGGTGCAAAAGACATTACTCTTTCAAGGTGCAATAAGTGAATCTTGTGTACTCTTTACTTAATAAAATTGTACTTTTGTATGATACTTTTCGAAACAAGGAATAGCACATAGAGAAACATTACACTTTGCACACCTGTACATTGTTCCCTTTCTTTTCTTTTTGCGCGAACAAACAAAACATCTTCTATAGGGACGAACAAAATTTGCCGTAGAAGGGTTATAGGTTATAAAGTGCCTTTCGCTTAACCTTATTAGATCCGTTTTCGAATGTTTATATCTTTCAAGATTGCTGCTTTGAGCGCATTTCTTTATGAGATTAGACACTAAATTTAACATGAAGTTCAAACGTCTTGTTTTAGCACCGTATTTTGTATAAATTATGTACGAATTAAACACCGTAATTTCTACGAGATGAAGAAACATCTTTATGTAAAATTTTTTCATGCGCTTCTTTTTTATAGCGTAATTACTAATGCATTGATCTGCCAAATCGACACCTCCCATTCCTTTGTTATAATCCAACACTGCTGCAGGTTTCATCGTAGTTTTCCGTCCTCTACCTTTATGACTTCTCATGCTACCGTCGTGTATGGTAGAAAGCATACACACGTCTCTTTTATCGTGCCATTTCAGTGCCATGAGTCTTCCACGATACCACGAGCAAACTTCCCCGGGTTTTAGGACTTTATTCTTCATACCTGGTGGCAAATCTTTCCTGTTCATTCGAACAGTACCCACTACATCAGTTTTGTAACGTGCTAACGTGTCGTATAACTTGGGCGAAGAATAATAGTTATCCAGAAATAACCTATGACCTTTGTCCAGTAGACTTTCCATCAGAGTTAACACCACCCTGGATGTTTTATTAAATCCTTTAAGGTCGAGATCCTTTACTTTATTGGACAAAAGTGTAGATTCTCCTGTATAGATCATCATATCGTAGACGTATCCTGTGGACGATTCGCAGAGAAGGTAAGACTTTACTCCCATACGTGCCCTCTTCCTTGGTATGTAGGTTCTCCATACGACACCACGACCCTTCCACAGAAGTAGGCTCTCGTCTATACTTATATCCCTTTCTGGCGTGTAGATCTCCTGCCATTTCTCTTTTAGATGATTCAAAAGCGGTAAGAATTGAAAGAAATGGTAATCGTATTCATTCCTACTTTGTTCCGAATCGATAGTAAAATGCATAAACCTTAAAAGATCTACAAACCTATCTCTTGTCATGATCTCTCCAAAGAACGGGGTGGCCAGCATTTTATCCTTAGTAAAATACAGTCTCATATCTGGCTTTTTCACTATTCCTTGTAGGATGAGTAAAGCAAGAAATAACTTCACTTCATCACAATTAGTTTCTTTCCATTGTAGACTTTTGCTTAATTTTTTCTGTGTTTCTTCGCGTATCTTCTTCTTCTTCTTCTTCTTAAATATTTTCCTCGCGTAAATATTTGTGTGTAACACTATGGATTCTGTTAATTCTTGCGTAAAGAAGTATTCAAATATCGTTTCCGGATTACGATCCAAGAAAGGAATGTTGGCGTTAACCTTTCCTAAATTGCTATCTGTGGGAAAGGGTTCTCTCGCTTCTCCTGAAAGACTCCAAGACTCACCTTCATCGCTTTCACTTGATTCGTATTCATCTGTATCACTGTCACTAACATCACACACCTCATGTCTGGTGTATCTTAGGGTGTCGTCTGAACTGCAGCTATCCCATTCAATTTCGTATTCGTATCTTCGTTTCTTTGCTTTCTTCGACTCCATTTTGCCTCTTTACTTGGTCTGTAAGTAAATGAAGGGATTTGTAATCATCGAAACTTTTCATCACACTGTACTGGCTTGAACACAAAGCAACTACAGAGGAGATCGCTAGTGTATTACCTCACAAGGTTATCGTAACGGGTAGCTGTAGTAACGGGTCAGTTCATTTCGGTGTAGAGGGGATGATTTGTGTTGTACTTTGCTCGCCTTCAGTTGTATTTTTCCACACGATTCTGTTCCCACAATCTCGTATTATTTCTAGTTTACATTCGTAAATAATTTGAAACTAACAGTATATTTAAAATAGTTAATTGTATGACACTAAAGTTCAGCAAAATGATCGATTTTTAAGAATGTTTTCGTGGGTTTTGTCAAAAAATAGACAGAATAAATAGGTCATTAATATACAGAGACCAACAGTTACTATTACGTAACACGTTTAGAATGATCAATAGATTCCATTGTAAGTATATTAAAAGAAACACCCTCATTTTAAATTGTTATGTGTACAACGGATTATAAAACCTCATAATGATGTCCAGCATAGTATCTACTTGATATCGACCATTGTTTACTAGTATATCTAGCATAAAGTGTGAGGTTTCTTGGCCATTTTTCTATACACTTATGCCAAACACCCCTAACCGTACCCCACTCATCCCATCCCTCTTTTCCTTTGTGAGAGGAAGGTTTTGTTAGAAGCATTATGCATTATGTGACACTATAATATAGCACAATTATCGATTCTAACGTTAGAATCACGCAACTAATACGAGTTTTGCGCCCATCTTTACGAAAATATATAGATTTTTAAGAATATTTCTTGTAATTTATGCGAAAATATAAAATAAATAGGTCATTAATAAATGGAGGTCGACACTACCTTGCAGGCAACACAGCTAAAATAAGTACAGTAGAACCTCGATTATCCGGACTAATTGGGGATGAAGACAGCCCGGATAAGGAAAAATTCGGATAATCGAGGTTCTATTGTAATAGTTTACGTTTACACAGTTTAAAATTTGAGTAACTTAGATAAAAGCTTACCCACTTGATTCTGTACGGGTCCTATTTGAGAGAAGTTTAATCAAATATTAAAATTCAGCACGTTTTAGCTCTTTATTATCCATTGTTTCATCAGTAACACGTTAAGCCAGTGATAGTGACTTCCTGGGGCGAATTGAATTCTGAAAGTAAGGGGGTATAAGTCTCAGTTATTTCAGAAACCTAGCCCTATTGAACGATATATGTTAATACAGTCGAACCTCCGATAACGGCCACTTCTAATAGCAACCATTATCTTTAGGAACGTAATGTTTTCTTTTTGAGCAAAAACACATACAAAATAACATCTTATCAATGGAGATTTTTAGTAACTTATAAAAAAAACCAGCAACGAGTTACACAAGTTTCCCGGCTATTATAAGATCTTATTTAAAAAATAACTTTTATACTATTAATTACAGTATAACTAGAATCGATAGATATACTGGTCCTTGCGCTATACTCTCAAGTGTAGTTAATGCCTCAGGTTGCGGGCATACTTAGTGGTATGCCTTTTTGGAACTCATCTCACCGCTTATTACTAATATTCCTGTTCTACATCTGTATCCTTGAAAGAAATTCGACCGTTGGCCTCCTTGATTGCACATGTCAAAGTAATAATATTCTTACTACCAAGAATAAAAACAAAAATGGCGTCAATAATATGTGAAGTTCCATTTGATTACAGGAGGGAGCTAAGAAATAAAATAAGCTTTTGACATAGTACAGTACTGAGAACTAATCTAAATGTATGCGGGAAATGTATCAAATTCATTAACTACTGATTGTCATAGAAATATGAGTCCCTCCCTACACAACCTCGTGTGTAGGGAGGTACTTTGTAGCTACTTCGTATTTTACTAAGTACTTGCTAACAGGTTTCGTATTCCTAAAGGCCCATTTATGTCCAAATGACTGGGTTTCATCTGATTTTCAGGTTATTTAAAGATTTCATGTTGTTGTAATGGAAGATTAGCTCACTGGCAGCAAAACTAAACCCCCATTACCAGATGTAACTTGATATCCATGTTCTTGCACCACGGGGGCCCACCAGTGACCAACCGGTCTTCGTACCCTAAACACTGGGAGTTCGGTCGTGGGTTCGCGCCTCGTTTATGCGGGATGGCCACGTCGAGATTTCCAGGTTTTCTCCGCGTCTGTAACGCCTAAATAGGGGCCAGTTTCCCTTAATACACCTCCCGGAATGCATCCCCCAAAGCAGATTGCGTTGTCATAACAAACAAACTTGCGCCATGGAAACTCCTCCAAGTTAAGAAAAGATTTCCTTACCTGGTGTCAATTACTTCCTTGATAATTCTACTGAACTCAGCGCTGTTTTTTCGTCTGGTGTCGACATTTTTAAATTTAACTTTTCTGAATTATAAGATTTCCAAATTAAAAATTCATTCGAATATCTTCAAACTGTAACACAATAAAGGAATTAATTATGCAAAATTTAAAATACTGTATAATTATACAATTTCTTTTGTTCGTTTCTTCCATTTTTTATGCAGTCAACTATTACAGGTATGAGATTTATTCTTAACAATAGTCAGTCTGTAATTGGATCAGTTTAATAAATGATATATTTAACTTTCTGTTATTTATTTACCATATATTTCTTTAATGGAAGAACGTAAAAAAGTATCTTATAACTCAGAAATATCCCGAAAGATGGCGGTAATAGGCACACCTCCCTTTCTGCATCTTGCAAACACCTGCGTGAGTGCATTCGATCTCTTCTTTATGTCTATACGAAACACTCCGTATACTACTGAAAAGAACTAAAACTACTAACACAACCCTTTTTCTCTACCCTTTACGAAAAACAGCCTATAACCCCCCTATAACACTGTAGATAATTCCGTGTTATATGAATTCCATCTTGTACGAGTCACTTAAATTTTACAAATACGTGTGCCGGGATGTGAACGGCTCACGTATTTGTAAAATCTAAGTGACTCGTACAAGATGGAATTCATATAACACGGAATTATCTACAGTGTTATAGGGGGGGTCTACTCAATTAAACACAATAACCATTTTATCAACAATACTGCCAGAACATTTAATAATCCAAGTGTTAACAATACAAAACACTTAAAAATTTCAATAAATTAGTGTTTGTTTTCCAAATCTGCTACTCTTCTATGCAAAAAAAAAATGGCCGGATTAGCAAGAGTCTAATGTATTTAAATGAAATACTTTACGCCGGAAGAATTTTCAAGTAGTATTTTTGTTAAACGTGTCTAACTCTACCCCCTGGCATAGCTTTAGTGTAACTTAAAGAAGCAAGTGACGTAGTAACATCTGTTCACATTATTTACTACACGTTAGAACAAACGAGAAAGATCTACCACGTAGAAATTCAATTCGAAAATGATTGAAAAAGTGCTTAAAGGGAACTGGTTCCTCCGAAATAATGGGTTGAAACGGCTTACTTATTCAAAAATACTACATTAAACAACGTAATTCCTCTCCCTCCCATCCATTCCTACAGATTAAAACACGTGTTTACTTCCATACTACTGCGAGAAAGGTTATGGTCACAAGGTCGAAAGGTCAACGGATTAGTCTACGGTTGGAGGGGAGTAAGGGAAGTATCTCGTGCCGTATGTTTAAAGCTAGGTGTTATATTTTATTACTCACGGGAAGTTTACGGTAAAAAATACACAGGTTTAATAGTTTTTTTTGTAATACTCTAATTAACCATGCAACAACAAAAGAATTTTTTGGAATTTTATTCAACAACGTCAACCAACAACAAAGAAAGTGCAAAGAACACGTGACTTTACCCATACGGCACCCCTCTGTTGCCAACAGCAACGTCAATTTACGGGGGGATCATTTCCAGTGACGTCATACTCAGCGGTTGCCGCATTCTTTGCGCACTTGTTTACGTGCTCTTTATATATCTAGAAGCTAATTTTAAAAACATCTCGTATAATAAACGTTCATTTTATCTTTGTTTCCGACCATTTTTCGCATATAATTACCATTAATTTCATTAAAATAATTATCGTTAAGCATCCGGTAGCTCATTTTTAAGTGCTGTTTCTTAGAATAATCCGGTATTGTGGGTAATTTCATCACCATTTTAGTCACGTTTCCTCAACTGGTAGTTCGCGAACACGTTAATACGATTCCTGCTCTTTACTATGCCCTGTTATCTCTCCACATAGGGCCTTAAAACTTAAAAATAGTTATTATAAAGCGTGTATCTAAATATATAAAATTGCTTGTCCTGACTGACTCACTCATTCATTCACTGATTCATCATCGCCCAGAGCAAACCGCTTAACCTAAAGAGGTGAAATTTGGTACACAGTTAGGGTACGTCATGGAAACGCACACTAAGAAAGGATTTTTCGAAATTCCAACGCGGGGGGGTGAGGGGGAGCATTANCGTGTATATATATATATACTTTATATTATAAAGAACAAAAGTAATCTGTCTAATATTAATTAGTTAATACAAAATTCAAATTTATTTAGCCCAAAATTCAGTTAACCTTGTTATATGTATTCCAGGTATATTCCTGTACACCATTTTTATTACAAAATCGAGGTTAAAGGTCATAAAGTGCCTATCATTCAACCTCGGTAGATCTGAAGGATGTTTTTGATATTGTTTTCGTTTGACACTGTGATTTGTATATGAGATTATTGGCTAAATTTAGTATGAAGTTCAAATGGGATGTCTTACGCCCGCATTTATTATAAATTACGCATGAATTAAACAGCGTGAAGATGAAGAAACATCTTCATGTAAAATTTGCTTTCTTTTTTGTAGAATAACGACCAATGTGTCATTTGCCCCACCGACATTTCCCATTCCTTTGTCATAATCCAACACTGCTACAGGTTTCAATGCTTCCTTTCAATACTTTTCATGCCACCATCATGAATGGTAGAAAGCATGCAAACGTCTTTTCTTTTGCGCCATTTCAGTGCCACGAGTTTTCCACGTTACCACGAGCAAAACTACCCCGCGATTTCTTTCATATCTCACCAGATATGAAGGATCTTTCCTGTTAATTCGAACAGTAACCCACTACATCAGTTCTGTAACGTCGTATAACTTGGGCGAAGAATAAAAGTTATCCAGAAATAACC